TGGCTTAGATATGAGTATAATCGTGGCTTCATAGAATGAATTGGGTAGTGTTCCATCTGTTTCTATTTTGTGGAATAGTTTATAGAGAATTGATACTATGTCTTCTTAGAAAGTCTGATAGAATTCTGCACTGAAACCATCTGGTCCTGGGATTTTTTTGGTGGGGAGACTGTTAATGGCTGCTGCTATTTCTTTAGGGGTTATGAGACTGTTTAGATGGTTTATATGCTCCTGATTTAACTTTTGTACCTGGTATCTGTCTAGAAAATTGTCCATTTCATCCAGATTTTCCAGTTTTGTTGAGTATAGGCCTTTGTAGTAGGATATTATGAGTTTTTTAATTTCCTCAATTTCTGCTGTTATATCTACCTTTTCAGTTCTGATTTTATTAATTTGGATACTGTCTTGGTGCCCTCTGGTTAATCTGGCTAAGGGTTTACCTATCTTGTTGATTTTCTCAAAGAGCCAGCTCCTGGTTTTGTTGATTCTTTGTATAGCTCTTTTTGTTTCTACTTGGTTGATTTCAGCCCTGAGTTTGATTATTTCCTGCGGTCTACTCCTCTTGGGTGTGTTTGCTTCTTTTTTTCTAGAGCTTTCAGGTATGCTATTAAGCTGCTAGTGTATGCTTTCTCCAGTTTGTTTTTGTAGGCACTTAGAGCTATGAGTTTTCCTCTTAGCATTGCTTTCATTGTGCCCCACAAGTTTTGGTATGATGTGTCTTCATTTTCATTAAATTCTAAAAAGTCTATAATTTCTTTCTTTATTTCTTCCCTGACCAAGTTATCATTGAGTAGAGCATTGTTCAGTTTCCACATGTATGTGGGCTTTGCATTGATTTTGTCATTATTGAAGAACAGGCCCTAGTTCATGGTGATCTGATAGGATGCAGGGGATTATTTCAATCTTTTTATATCTGTTGAGGCCTGTTTTGTGACCAATTATATGGTCAATTTTCGAGAAGGTACCATGAGGTGCTGAGGTCTTTTTTTGGGGGATGAAATGTTCTGTAGATATCTGTGAAATCTATTTGGTTCATAACTTCTCTTAGTTTCACTGTGTCTCTGTTTAGTTTCTATTTTCATGATTTGTCCATTGCTGACAGTGGGATGTTGAAATCCCCCACTATTATTGTGTGAAGTGCAATGTGTGCTTTGAGCTTTAGTAAGGTTTCTTTTATGAATGTGGGTGCCCTTGCATTTGGAGCATAGATGTTCAGAATTGAGAGTTCATCTTTGTTGATTTTTCCTTTGAATAATATGAATTGTCTTTCCTTATCTTTTCTGATAACTGTTGATTGGAAATTGATTTTATTCAATATTAGAATGCCTACTCCAGCATGTTTCTTAGGACCATTTGCTTAGAAAATTGTTTTCCAGCCTTTTACTCTTAGGTAGTGTCTGTCTTTGTCACTGAGTTGTGTTTCCTATATGCAGCAAAATGTTTACCTGTTTATCTATGTCTTTTTATTGGGGAATTGGGTCCATTAATGTTAAGAGATATTAAGGAAAAGTGATTGTTGCTTCCTGTTATTTTTGTTATTAGAGGCAGAGTTATGTTTGTGTAGCTATCTTCTTTTGGGTTTGTTGGAAGAAGATTTCTTTCTTTCTTTTTCTAGGGTATAATTTCCCTCCTTGTGTTGGAGTTTTCCCTCTATTATCCTTTGTAGGGCTGGATTTGTGGAAAGATATTGTATTAAGTTGGTTTTGTCATGGAATATCTTGGTTTCTCCATCTATGGTAATTGAGACTGTTGCTGGGTATAGTAGCCTGGGCTGGCATTTGTGTTCTCTTAGGGTCTGTATGACATCTGCCCATGATCTTCTGGCCTTTATAGTCTCTGGTGAGAAGTCTTGTGTAATTCTGATAGGTCTCCCTTTATGTTACTTGACCTTTTTCCCTTACTGCTTTTAATATTCTTTGTTTTGTGCATTTGGTATTTTGACTATTATGTGATGGGAGAAATTTATTTCTGGTCCAGTCCATTTAAAATTCTGTAAGTTTCTTGTATGTTTTTGAACATATCTTTCTTTAGGTTAGGGAAGTTTTCTTCTATAATTTTGTTGAAGATACTTACTGGCCCTTTAAGTTGGGAATCTTCAGGCTCTTCTATAGCTATTATCTTTAGGTTTGGTCTTCTCATTGTGTCCTAGATTTCCTGGATGTTTTGGTTAAGAGCTTTTTACATTTTGCATTTTCTTTGACAGTTGTGTCAATGTTTTCTATGGTATCTTCTGCACCTGAGATTCTTTCTTCTACCTCTTGTATTCTGTTGGTGATCCTTGTGTCTATGACTCCTGATCTCTTTTCTAGGTTTTTTATCTCTAGGGTAGTCTCCCTTTGTGAGTTATTGTTTCTACTTCCATTTTTATGTCCTGGATAGTTTTGTTCAATTTCTTCACCTATTTGTTTGTGTTTTCTATAAGGGAATTTTGTGTTTCCTCTTTAAGGGCTTCTACCTGTTTACCTGTGTTCTCCTGTATTTCTTTGAGGAAGTTACTTATGTCCTTCTTAAAGTCCACTATCATTAACATGAGAAGTTATTTTAAATCTGAATCTTGCTTTTCTGGTGTCATGAGGTACTCAGGACTTGCTATGGTGGGAGAACTAGGTTCTGATGGTGCCAAGTAACCTTGTTTTCTGTTGCTTATATTCTTGCACTTGCCTTTTGCCATCTGGTTATCTCTAGTGCTACCTGCACTCACTATCTCTGACTGGAGCCTGTTTCTCCTGTTTTCTTGGTTGTGTCAGAACTCCTCAGAGTCCAGCTGTCTCTGTGATCCTGTGATCCTGAGATCCTGGGTGTAAGAGCTCCTGGGAGTCAATCCTGGTGTGACCAAGCTCCTGAAATCCTGTGAACCTATGATCCTATGCTCCTGTATGTGTTAGAGCTCCTGGGAGTCCAATCTCCTCTGGGGGTTCTGGGATTGGGTGCAAAGCTGGTGCCCTAGGTCTGCTCATGGCACCAGTGCAGATCTTAATGACCTGGTGCCACTTGCCAGGAGGGAGTTCCTGAGTTTCCGTGAGTCCCAGTTACTCCTTGTTTTGGGGAGAGGATGTTGCAGCCTCCTCACCTGAGATCCTGGGCTTGTTAGAGCTCCTGGGAGTCCAGCCTCCTCTGGGATTGGATGCAGAGCTGGCGCCCTAGGTCTGGTCAAGGCACCAACTCTGACTGGAAGGACCCTAAATCCTATCTTAAAAGTCCACAAAGATTTCGGGATCTGCCCTAAGGAAATTAATCAGCAAAGCAAAGATTAGTCAACCTATCATAAAATTATGTTAATTAGATTGCATGGAACCAAAGACCAAAGAATAGGGCCAGAAACTTTGAAAGTACTGTTTTAAAGACATAAGTTCAAGGTTAAGGTACAGGCAATTATTCTCAAAATAGGACTCCAAATAATCAATGATAGTGAGAAAAATGAACAGATTGGATTGCATCAAATATAAAGTATTTTGTACAGCAAAGTAGTGAAAGAGAGAATAGAAAATGAGAGAAAATCTTTCCTAGCTTTTCATCCAATGAGGAATTAATAACCAAAATATGTAAAGAACTAAAAAAGAATACAAAAGTAAATAACCCAGTAGATATATGAATAAACAAGTAGAACATTTTTCTTTTTTGCTATGTTATTAGCATATGCTAATTATACAAAGTAGCATATAACTACATGTAGTTAGTTATCTGCCAGTGGGCATTCAATCTTGAAAAATACAGGTGAGTAACCTTTTTCTGAATTAAGATATATAAACTTGCCTCAGGGTTGATGGTAGTTATTGTAAAAGGATAAAACCTTTAAATATTTTTATTTGAGCCCCAAAATAATAAAGTTTTAAGTTCTACAAAGCCTGATAATAATCCTAGTTACTTTTTAAGTTCTTGTTTTTCATACAACTAAAATTGCCATCATGTCAGCCATGGGGGAACACGCCTTTAATCCCAGCACTTAAAGGCAGAGGCAGGTAGATCTTGAGTTCAAGGCCAGCCTGGTCTACAGAGTGAGTTCCAGGATAGCAAGGACTACACAAGAAAACCCTTTGTGTCAAAAAAACAAAACAAGTAAATAAAATTACCATCACTTTTTGACCTCATAGCTAAAATTAAAGATCAAGTATAAAATTGGCCAAATAGAGTAACTCTGAATGTTGAAATTAAATAATATTTATTGAGGGTTTAATTTCAGAAAAAATTAAAAGGCATTTACTATTAAAGCATTTACTAATAAGCATTAAAAAGAAAATGGGATTGTGTAGTATAATAAACATACATATATAAATAATATGTATTTTATATATGTACATATATATGCTACATATTATAGATACATATATAATATGAAATAATATATGTATTGTATATATATCATCTATGATCTATTATATGTATTATATATTTTAGCTTACTTGAAAAAAATGAAAGTTTTATATATATACTTAAAATTTGCCTTTTAAAATGTTAATGGAACTATATAGAATAATGAAAAAATTGCATGTCTGTGTTTCTAGGGCTGACCACTCTGTATTGAACAACCAATAAGGGGGCTCACCCCTGGAAGGGGTGGATTATCCCTCTCCTAGTAGTCAGTAGCTGCCTGTGGTTCTTGATAGATGTTTTGAATTTTAATAAAAGAATCTTGGAATTTAAATTGGAAAACCCGAGTTCTTTTCCAGGCTAATATTAACTACAATTGAGGTTCTAGTCCAGGTTGATTGGCCTGTCCCGTGTGTCATCATCCTTCTATATCTGTTTTCTCATTAATATATTTAACAAGTTTTGCCAACTGATAGTTTAGGTTTCTTTTAGACCTAAAATTGTATTAATCCAAGTTATCACAGCAGATTAACTCACAACACATACTGATTTTTATATATTGTTACAGTATTAAAAAATTATTCATGTAGATTATCATAATGTAAAACATTCATTGCCCACCAATGTATGATAAGTAGCTGCTTTAAACAGGACTTCACACATGAGTGACGCGAATTGTTTTTACAGGTACATTCCTCTCATTGAAAGGAGCTGTGTTAACATTCTCCTGCATGGACAGAACTGGCAGTTTAATGCAGCCTCCATACGAAGTATGGAGGGATCCAAACAATACAGATGAAAATGAAAAAACCTGGAAAAGGAAATTGGTCATGAACTACTCATCTTCATCCCAAGAAATGGGAGACCATCAGTATACGATAATCTGCTCAGAAAAACAAGCCAAAGTCTTCTCACTGCCTTCCCAGACCTGCCTTTATGTTCACAACATCACAGAGACGTCATTCATATTGCAAGCAAATGTGGTGGTCATGTGCAACAGTGCCTGCCTGGCCTGCTTTTGTGCGAATGGGCATATCATGATAATGAGGTACTTGGTATATTTATTGCTAACTGATAATCACAACAATGCTAGCAAGGTCGAATGGTGAGAAGTATCTTCATCCTGTTGTAACCTGATATGGTGTCTCACTACATTCACAACCAGTGAACGTTCTGATGTTACATTGTTCAACAACATGAAGAGAGTTTTGTGGTCTGGATGTGGAGAGGGCTGGCTTTGGTTTAGTTTACTATAAAAAATACTTGACATATTTATTAATATATATTAATATGAATATTAGTATATCACATATATTATTGACATCGAGGATCCAAGGAAAGAATTATTCTTAATCATTCATACATTAATTTAACAAGCAATTATTGGGACTATGTTAAGCACTGGATATAGAAGCTATACGGAATGGAAATCATATGCTACTTTCACTATTACATAAGAACTTTACACACAGACTGTCACTTGATTCTCATAGCTTTTCACAGACATTTACAAGTATTATTTTCATCTCCAAATTGACATGGTAGAAATTACAGTAAAATAATGTATCTACAGGCATAAACCACAGGAAAGGTGAAGTCAGCACTCAACAGTACACTGACAGCCATCAGACCTTTAAAATAAGGAGTAAACTAAGATAGTTCGTTCTACTCAGTGAGATTATATAAGACTGTGAAACATAAAAATATTATCTAATGACTTTATGAATTTAGCAATGCCATGGTAGACATTGAATGAAAAAGCTACAAGAAAATAAAATCTGTTCAATATCCTGTAGAAGTAACTATCATGCTTGTCAATATCTCGCCTTGTTCCAAAATCATTTTACAGTAAAATATTATGCTAGGCATGAAAAGGAGTTAACAATTAGTAACATACAATAATAAATTATTAGAAAACAAAAATGAAAATGCAAGTAGAGGAAGTGCAAGTTTCTTTTGACAAAATGAGTCTCCAAAGTTTCAAAGCATTGACTCAGTCTTCCCTTGGAGAGGAAGATTGGCACAAATGGGTAAGGACCTTGAGTGAGGAGCTAGGTATAAAGTTTATAAGAAATGGGGTTTTAAGTAGGTAGTTAGCCCTCTTGGGTGTGCACTAGGACATACTCAAGGAGACAGGGCTTGGGATTGGCCCTTGATCTGCAATGCAAGGCAAGGAGGGAGCAGGCATGGAGGGAAGGGAGACCTGCTGTGTGCAGAGCTGATTTGTTATACAAGGCTGATGAGGTCACTGAGTCTCAGGATTTGGGGAATTTGTATTACAGTAATGCTATAGCATGTAAGAGAGTGGAGAATTTGAAAAGAATGTGAATAAGGAGTTTGAGAGTGGATTAAAAACAAGTTTGACACTTGGAGGCACTCCTAAGCCATCAAGAAAAGTTTTAACAATTTAAGTTCTGCTTTCTTAGAAAAACATGGGCTTGAGTGTCATCTAGGAAAACTGTTAACAGCAAACAGCAAAGATCATCAACAGATCCTATAAAAAGAAATGAGCAGCAGACTGTGCTGAGGTTAGATAAGGGCCAGTCTCTGCATTTATGCACCAGAGGAAAGAGAGCCCAAAGGAGGAGGTTGAGATGTCATCAGAGAGGTAAGACAGGGACCAGGACAGCAACCTGCTGTTATAAAGACAGGAAAGCATCACAACAAAAGAGGTGGTCAAGAGGTAGCAAATACCACAGAGGTCAAAGCACTGGGGTACCAGGAACAAAACTATAAAGTGGTCATACTGGAGCATGCCTAGAACCCCAGCTGTGAAGGTAGAAGGTTCCAAAGTTCCAGATAATACTCTGCTACACAGTAAGTTGGAGGGCAGCCTGGGCTGCATGAAACCCTTTAAGAAAGCAAGTGTTAGCATAAAGAAGGCAAAGCTAACTTTCAGGAGGGCAAGAGAGGAAAAAGTAGTGCAGATATGAGGTTGGCAAATGATAAAACAAATCATCCCTTGTCTGATTTGTACAGCCTGCAAGCCAAGAATTAAATGATTGAAAAAGTCAGATAATATGTTTGGTGGGAATTGGATGGATTCTGAAATAATAATCAGAAAATACAGGTGTTTATAGCACAGCCATATCCACCATTTGTTGACCATGGCTGCTTTTACATTACAAAGCAGAACTGAATACTTGCAAAGGAGATGCTACAGGCCCCAGAGCCTAAAACATTTACCCTCTGATGCTTTATCCTGCTACAAGTTATTCTTTCAGAAAAATTTGTGATAAATAGAAAGAGAAGTAGGAAAGGACATGAAGAGTAAAGCCAGACTTTCAGAGGGCTTTATTTCATTATTTCTAATTGAGAAGACATGAGCAGATCTAAATGGAGTTAGTGAAGGAGAAACTTTGGGGGAAAAGCAATCATAGCATGCTTATTCTCAAATATTTCTAATTCTTTCTCCATTTGATTATCCCTTTCTCAAACTGTTTTGAAAGACTTCCAATGAAGATCAATCCATCTTGTCTGTAAAGTAGACATGCTTCGATTATGGGGACATTAATTTAAGAGGGCCTCTGTGTGACACACTAGCCACCTCTCAGCTCGTTTGTCATTAAAATCTTATGTTAAACCTTTATTATAGTTTTCATATCCCAGATAATTTTCTAAATTTTTATTTTTAATTACATGTAGATGTGGGTTATAAACATGTGTTCAGGTGCTCTTGGAGATCAGAAGTATGTGTCAGATTCCCTGGAGCTGAAGTTACAGGCAGTTGTCATCTGTCTGGTGTGGGTACTAGGATTCAAACCTGGATCATCTGGAAGAGCAACAAGCTCTTCTCACCTCTGATCTATCTCTCCAGCCCCATATTTAGGATAATTTAGGATAGTCTTTGAAATCCAGCGCGCAGTTTGTGCTTTCAGCATACCACCGTTCTGACCATCCAAGGATCAGCTGCTCAATAGTCATTCAACTAGTTGATGGCTACAGTACCAGGCAGCATGACGCCAGAACCACAATGCATACTTATGCCAATAATGTAGATTTCAGTCCCCATATCATATAGTAAATTTTGAGATGCAAAGAATATAGTTATAAAATATTTTTAAAAGAAAAGTGGCTTTTTTTCCCGGTTTCCGCGGCCACCGCAGCCATGAGCAGCAAAGTCTCACGCGATACCCTGTACGAGGCGGTGCGGGAAGTCCTGCACGGGAACCAGCGCAAGCGCCGCAAGTTTCTGGAGACGGTGGAGCTGCAGATCAGCCTGAAGAACTACAACCCTCAGAAGTTCAAACGTTTCTCGGGCACTGTCAGGCTTAAGTCCACCCCTCGACCCAAGTTCTCGGTATGCGTCTTGGGGGCCCAGCAGCACTGTGACGAAGCCAAGGCCGTGGATATCCCCCACATGGACATCGAGGTGCTGAAGAAACTCAACAAGAACAAGAAGTTGGCCAAGAAGTACGATGCCTTTCTGGCCTCCGAGTCTCTGATCAAGCAGATCCCAGGTATCCTGGGCCCAGGCCTGAACAAGGCCGGCAAGTTCCCCTCCCTGCTGACACACAATGAAAACATGGTGGCCAAGGTGGACGAGGTGAAGTGTACAATCAAGTTCCAGATGAAGAAGCTGCTGTGTCTGGCTGTGGCCGTTGGCCACGTGAAGATGACCGATGACGAGCTGGTCTACAACATCCACCTGGCTGTCAATTTCTTGATGTCTTTGCTCAAGAAAAACTGGCAAAACGTCCGGGCTTTGTATATCAAGAGCACCATGGGCAAGCCCCAGCGTCTGTATTAGGACGCTCCAATAAACCTCAGAGCTGCCAAAAAAAAAAAAAGAAGAAAAAAAGAAAAGTGGTGCTTTGGATACTATCTCTGTATTGCAGGATGAATTAAAATTAGTGAACATGAAGAATTAGAGTAGTTTTTTTTTTTAAGAATTATTTATTTATTTTATGTATGAGTACACTGTTGCTGTCTTTAGATAGACCAGAAGAGGGCATCAGATCCCATTACAGATGGTTGTGAGCCACCATGTGGTTGCTGGGAATTGAACTCAGGACCTGTGGAAGAGCAGTCAGTGCTCTTAACCGCTGAGCCATCTCTCCAGCCCAATTAGAGTAGTTTTTAAGTATAAAGATAAACCAAGGCAGTTTCCTCTGCCCTCCAAGTTCAAGAAACGATGAACAAACCGTGGAATTGTTTTTCATAGTGGTTTGTAAAATTGGCTCTAACTACAGTATCCGAAGTACATTCCTAGCACAATCTTATTAACATTATGGCTGCAGGGTTAGGAGAAAAAGGTAGTAGAGATGTAGTCTTTCTCCTGCATAAACGCTAATTTATTACTTATACTCATTCCCTTAAGCCAGGGCCATGTTTTCTTCCTAGTCATGTTAAATTCAGACAGGCTAAGAGACAGGAAGATCATATTTCTGTTGCGCAAAATATTAAAAAGAACGGCAAGTTCCCACACTACGCCCAGCACCTGCTGGCCGCGTGGCTCCAGCCGGGTGTACTCACCTTGGCAGACCCTCTGGACCAGAGCTCCCGAGTTCCCTTGGCAGGTCGCTGCCACCCAGCCTCACACAAAGACCTCCCAGCCCGCGGTCAGCCACCACAACACACAGCAACCAAGTAGAAACAAAACTCTAGAAGCTTATAATTAACCAGTCAGATTTATATAACAATAAATTCTCAATTCACAAGATTCCCACACAATAATTTCGGGGCCAATTGATAATGATACAAGCTGTCCACCTAGATTAAACAAGTTACCCCAATTATTTTATCCTTCTATGAAATTCTATCTACCCATGGCTATTTAAAGCCATGCTGAATCTGAATCATCCTGTTCTTCGGCCTCCATCTTGCTTCATCTTTTTTCTTTCCTGTGTTGCTCTCTGTCTGCAACTCTTAGCTCCCCCTCCCTTTTCCATATCCAATCACAGGCCTCCTGCTGCACTAGTATTTTAATGTAACTAGACAGAGAAAATCCTGTCACACATTCCCTGTGAAGAAGGACTAATGGGGAACAAAGCACAATGTAGCCAGGCACACTAGACTGACCCCACACATTTCTCTTTTGGTGCATAAGCCCAAAGACTAAAGAGCTGTCTTAAAGAGAGACTATGGGCCTCTACATTAATCTTTAAGGGTATGTGCTAAGCATATATGTGGGCAAAATAGAATTGTTCTCATGTTTGTACATGTACATGTGATTACATATGGAAGTCTATTTATTACTTATCTTTGAAGGTGCTATAAAAACCCATAAAACAATGACTTAAAAGTTTTTTATTAAAGAAAACGGTTATATCAACAAAAATATGAAATACAGATTTACTGTTTTTTTCTATTCAGCTTGCCTAGTCTTCGCCCAATGTTGGATGTTAATTATTTGCCTCTGACAGACATGAGAATAGCACGGACATTTTGTTTTACTAATGAAGGACAGGCATTATACCTCGTCTCTCCTACTGAGATTCAACGGATAACATATAGCCAAGAAATGTGTGATAATATTCAGGTAGGTAAAGTTCCTTTATAGAAATAAATAGACATGATTGTTAGGAAAGAAAGAGAATAGAGACGTCTTTAAGCTAAAGTATCATTGAGCCAGAAAATAAATATACCTTTCTAGAAGATGTTTTGAATATATATTCTTCAATGTAATCCTACAAGTTTCTAGTATGGCTGTAGGTACACATGGAAGTAATAGGAGGAACTGATTATAATGGTCATTTATAGTGTTAGGGGAATTGAAAAGTATTTTATTCTAGGGAGTTTTGTTTTAATCATACTGGCATAAGTTTCTTATATAAAGAGATAGGTTTTATACTGACATTTTTTGCAAGTATATTATATACTTTGATGATATGCCCTCTTGGATATATTTACTTTCTCCCCTCCCTCTCTTCCTATTATTTGGTTTCTCCAGAGAGTCTAGGTTTTATTTCTTTTATTTTTTTTTAGGTTTTATTTTATGTTTTATATACACTGTGTGTGTGTGTGTCTGTGTGTGTATGCACACGTGTGTGCACGTGCAGGCATGTGGGCATGTGTGTGTGTGAATATTTTTATGTATTTACATAAAATCTAGAACCCACAAATAAGAGAGAACATGTAATATCTGTTGTTCTGAATTTGATTTTTTTAACATAATCTCCAGTTTCACCCATTTTTCTGAAAACAACAGAATTCCATTCTTTTTTAATTTTTAATTGTATGTGTATGGGTTTTGTTGCCTACATGTATATCTGTGTATGTATGTTCCTGGTACCCACAGAGGCCAGAAGGCAGTCAGACCATCTAGAGATACTTTAGATAGATAGATAGATAGATAGATAGATAGATAGATAGATAGATAG